GATGATGGCGAGCGGCTCGGCTATGACATCCGCCAGTTCCTGCAACACCCTGGGGTGCATCCCATCAGGGCCCATGGATTTGTGGGTGTCGAGTTTCCTTAGGTGCTCTCTGACCCACTCTTCCTCTACCCAGGGCAAGCCTTCCTCTCTCCAGCTCACTTCTTGTGTCCCTAGGGCGTGGGATTCTAGAGGGCTGCCCCTGACAAACACCAAAGCAAAKGCAGCATTCAGCAGCTCTGCTTTCTGCGTGTTTTCCGTAACCAGGGTACCCACCCTGTTCACTAGTGGACCCACATTCTTCCTGACCTTCCTCTTGTTGTTAATATATTTGAAAAAGTTTTTCTTGTTGCTCTTAACATCCCTTGCCAGATTTAGTTCCAAGTGTGCCTTGGCCTTTCCTTGTAGCATCCCTGCATTCCCTGACAACGCTCCTGTATTTCTCCCAAGGGCCTGTCCTTTCTTCCACATTCTGTATACTGCCTTTCTCTGCTGGAGTTTTGCCAGGAGCTCCCTGCTCATCCAYGCTGGCCTCCTGCCCCCTCTGCCTGACTTCTTGCGCACAGGGATGCACTGYTGCTGGGCATGGWGGAAATGCCKCTTGAAAACTAACCAGCTCTCCTGGGCCCCTCTTCCTTCTAGAGCCCTAGCCYATGGGATCTTTCCCAGCAGGTCTCTGAAGAGGCTAAAGTTGGCCCTCCTGAAGTCCAGGGTGGCAAGGCTGCCCTGCCTCCTCCTCGTTGGATTCTGAACTCCACCAGCTCGTGATCACTGCAGCCAAGGCTGCCCCCCACCTTCACATCTCCAACAAGGCYCTCTCTGTTTGTCAGTACGAGGTCCAGTAGCCCACCTTTCCTCGTCGGCTCCTCMACAACCTGCATCAAAAATTTGTCATCGACGCACTGCTGAAACTTCCAGAACCRTTTGTGCCTMGCTGTGCYGTCTCTCCAGCTGATGTCTGGRTAGTTAAAGTCCCCCATGAGAACCAGGGCTTGCGACCGTGAGGCAACYTCCAGCTGCCTGTAGAAGGCCTCGTCAACCTCCTCTTCCTGGTCAGGTGGCCTGTAGCAGACACCCACCACAGTGTCTCCCACATTGACCTGCCCTTTAACCCTTACYCACAAGCTCTCCACCCGCTCATCATCCACTCCTGGGCTGAGCTCYRTGCATTCCAGTTGCTCTCTCACATACAGAGCAATTCCACCACCTCGCCTTCCCAGCCTGTCCTTGCTAAAAAGCACATAGCCCTCCATGACAGCACTCCAATCGTTAGAGCTATCCTACCACGTTTCTATGATTCCTATGAGGTCGTGGTGCTGGGACCGCACACAGATCTCCAGCTCGTCTTGCTTATTCCCCATGCTTCATGCATTGGTGTATAAGCACTTCAGGGAGGTAATCGAGCCTGAACTTTTCCCAGGAGGCGTGAGAGTGGACCCTCTATAATCACATCCTAGCCATACTTCCCCACCACCAAAGGCCATTGACTTAGGTTGTATGGGATTGATTGCCCAGTCCATATGACACTCCCCTTCCCCCTTCTTGCTCAGTTTAAAGCTCTCCTAACAAGATTGGCAAGTCTTTTGGCAAACACACGTCTGCCCTTCTTGGTGAGGTGGATCYCGTCACCCTCCAYTAGCTRGTGGTCATCAAACASAGTCCTGTGATCGTAGAATCCAAAACCTTGCTGCCAACACCAGCGGCACAGCCAGTTGTTGATGTCAAATATCCGTTTTCTCCTACTTGAATCCATTCCCCTCATTGGGAGGAGGGAGGACAACACTACCTGGGCTCCCATCTCTTTTACTGCCACCCCTAGGGCTCTGTAATCTTTCTTGATTTTGGAGAGTTTCCCCATGGCGTCATTAGCACCCACGTGAAAGAGCAGCAGGGGATAATTGTCAGTGTTTCGGACCATCCGGGGGAGCCTCTTTGTAACATCCCTTATTCGAGCCCCCGGCAAGCAGCAGACCTCCCTGGATAAGGGGTCAAGTCTGCAGATGGGTGCCTCCGTGCCCTGCAGCAGGGAGTCACCCGTAACAATCACTCGCTGCTTCTTCCGGGTGCTCCTTTTTTCCTTYCGRGGGAGCAGCCTCAGGGCATGGAGCTGACGCTCTCTCTGCAGACCACCCCCTAGATGGACCTTGGTTGGCATCCTCATCTAACTGCTCCCCAAGGTCCAAGGCCTCAAATCTATTAGATGTGGTCACTGGCGGAGGTAAGGTGGAGAAGGGTTGTCCTGCCACCCTGAACAGGGACCCTTTTCCATTGTTGTTCGTCCTTGGATACCGTTAATTCTCTTCTCTCYGCCCTGTGGCAAGAGGATGCTGGCTTTCCAGACTGAACCAGGGGGTTCTCTGGGTGTCTTTCCTGGGAGGGCTGCAGAACGCAGCTCCACCAGTCTATTTCTCTTTCGCAYTCCCTGATGGCCCTGAGCCTTTCCACCTCCTCCTTCAGCTCCACCACCAGGCTAAGCAGSTCCTCCACCTGCTCACACCTAAGGCAGGCAGCRTTTTCACCAYTCCCTGGGACCAAGGAGWKGCTCAGGCATTCCTCACAGCTMGWGACCYGSACTRCYGCATGCTTCTGTGGCRGTTCAGTCTGCRTCGCCACAGTCTTCCTGGCGCAAGCTCTCTGACGAGTAGAGACCACGGTTTCCCCTGGTCTCCTGCTGACGGAAGAGACTGTGGGTAGAATTCTTTCGCTCGCCTGGGAGGGGCCTCCCTGCCTGCCCTCCCGCCCGGCCTGCTCGCCCTGCCCGCACGAACTGCCACACAGCGCCCTGGTCGCTCGCGCGCCCTGGGGGCGGCCTTTGAGCTCCCGCCTGTCCTGCCGGCTCCAGCCCCGCTGAGTCAGAGCCGCCCCGGGCACGGGGCTCCGCGCTGCCCGCCAAGGGGTCGGCGCCGGGGCTGCCTCGCGCTGCTCGCTGCCTGCGCTTGCTCGCTCGGCGGCTTTGGGCCGCAGTGGTTCGCCTCTAGACAAGGAGCTCCGGCACGAGCGTCCGCTCCAGATCTCTTCCCTTCGAGATAGATATTTTGCTCTCCTGACTTTTTTTTTTTTTTTTTTTTGGTAACAGATAATGCAAAAAGTCACATCTTTTTCGCATTGGTGAAYCTCACACACATGAAGGGTGCATAAGGCATCCTCACCAAGTCCAGCCTCCAGTGCCAGGATAGATGTCGAGTGTGCCAGAACTGCCTCCTTGCTGACAAAGCATCAAAAGCCACAAGGAGCCCCTAAGGGAAATGCTCAGACACAGGAGAGCTCTGATTGCCCTGTGTGGTACACTAGACTCCAAGAGATGTGAAATGTTGGTCCCAAAGCAAAGGGTACAAGGGGAGTGGTGCCAGGAAGAAACCAGCAGGTGGAATGACAGCTTGGGGGTAAGCAGAGGTGGGCCACAGGCTGCRCACTGCAGCCCCGTACCTCTCAAGAGCTGCCGCTGGGGCAGGGGCAGGAGCTGCAGCCGTGGCAGGAGCAGGAGCTGCAGCCGGGGCAGGAGCAGAAGCTGCAGCCGAGCGGCTGGGGAAGGGGGGCGGAGGGCGAGGCTGGCGGCGGCGCCGGCGGCCCCGCGACAGGGGGAGCGCAGAGCCCGAGCGCGTGGGCGGAGCGGCGCCTGCCCCGAGCGCTGCCGAGGGCAGCAGCCCGAGCGGGGCCGCGTGCAGCCCCGCGCTGCCCGCGCAGGGCAGGGGCGCGGAGGGAGCGGGGAGCCCGTGAGCTCACAGAGGGGCCCGCGCTGCGCTGCTTGGTTCCGCGCGCGCGCGGCGCGTTCGGCCGCACGGGCAGCATGGGGCGAGCGCGGGGGGCGTCCGGCCCCGGGCAGCGCCTGCTGCTGCTCGGGCTCGTGGCGGCCCTGCGTGCCCGGGAGAGCCGCGCTGCTCCGCGGGCAGCGCCGGGCACAGGTAGCGYGGGCCGGGCGGGCCGGGGCGGAGCGGGGCGGCATGAATATTCATGTGGGTGCCTAGGTAGATTGGTCAGCGTGTTTAAGAGCCGCGCTTCTGTCCGGTTTTGGTTATAGATGTATCTGTAGAGGATGGCACAGCGGTTTCTCAACTGGGTACTGGGTTTCAGCGTCAGAGTAAGTTGTTAAAATTTACTTTCTTTGAGCGGTGCCTGGTCTTTCCCAAAGGTCTCCCACACCCCTTTGCAACCTTGAGAGCCTCAGTGTATTTGGATGTTTATTGCAGTTGCATGATCCCCTGCCATTTCACAGAATCCCAGAATGGTTGAGGTTGGAGGGRACCTCTAGAGATCATCTAGTCCAACCTTCTTGCTCAAGCAGGCACACCTRGAGCATGTGGCACAGGGTGGTGTCCAGGCCGGTTTTGAAGACCTCTAGAGAAGGAGACTCCACAACCTCCTTGGGCAGCCTGTTCCACTGCTYTGTCACCCTMACWGTAAAGAAGTTCCTCCTCACCTGGAGATGGAACTTCTTGTGTTTCAACTTAAACCCATTTCCCCTTGTCCTGTCACTGGCCACCACTGAGAAGAGCTTGGCCCCTTCCTCCCTACATTCCCCCTTCATGTACTTAYACATGTTAATCAGATCCCCTCTCAGCCTTCTCTTCTCCAGAGAAAACAGGCCCAACTCACTCAGTCTCTCCTCATACGAGGGATGTTCCAGTCCCTTAATCACCTTTGTTGCCCTCTGCTGGACCCTCTCCGGAAGCTCCACGTCCCTTTTATACTGGGGAGCCCAGAACTGCCCCCAATACTCCAGGTGCGGCCTCACCAGAGCTGAGGAGAGGGGCAGGATCCCCTCCCTTGACCTGCTGGCAACACTCCTCCTGATGCAGGCCAGGATCCCATTGGCCTTCTTGGCCACGAGGGCACACTGCTGCCTCATGGTTAACTTGGTGTCAACCAGGACTCCCAGGTCCCTCTCCGTGGAGCTGCTYTCCAGCAGGTTGACCCCTAATCTGTACTGATGCCTGATTTCCTGCCACACACTTTTGAGGAAGTATATAGCAGTATGTAACAAAAGTATTTCCCATTGCTGTACAGATGTACCTGTGAGTCCCTTCTCAGGATCCACTTCTCGTCTGGATCCTCTTCCAGAGCCTTTGCCGCATGACACAAGTAAGCAATATCTGGTTTACTTGGAAAAAAAGCAGTATATGCTTTTGAGTAGTTTCTTCATGTGCAATTTAACTTAATACTTTCTGTCTAGGTCCTCGAAGAGTGAAGTATGAGGCCAAAATGAAAAACTCCTCCCAGAAATCTTCTCATATCCTAGAAGAAATCTTGAAGGACTTGGAGAGAGCCGCTGGTAGGGAGCTTTCTGTTTTAAGTGTAATCATTGGAAACATCAGCTTTTCGGAACAGCTATGGATAAGCTGTAGCTTATGTTGGAGAAAGATTGATCGGAGCCTTGTCCCAGTGCCACACCATTTCACACCTTGCATGCACTGCATGCTGCAGAAATTRTTCAGGGTCTCTTCTATGAGTGTGTTCCTCACCATGTTTGTCAAAGTGCTCTGAATATAGTGGCAGGAGCTCATGGCTCCGTGCACTGTGTGTGACTGCTGTGTGTACTGTGTGGTTGTGTTTGCATGAAGAGCCTAGCTTCTCAGAAGGCCTTTTCTTTTTTCCCCCAGCTGAGTTGCCTACAACTTTTTTTCTGCTGTCTTTGAAGCAAAGGATTCAATATCATCCTGCCAGTTCTCAAAAAGACACCAAGAGGGATGTGAATTAGATGACCATATGCATTTGTCTAGTCTCCCCACAGCTACAGCTGATGGCTGTTGCCTGTATTGGTTATCTGGAAGATTTTGTATGCTTCGATTTTTCTCTAGAAAGGACATGTCTGGGCTAGTGATCTAGTACCGACCCTGAAATCCTAAATTTTGATTCTGAACTTTTTATGGAAGCTGTTTGAAAAGTATTGACTCCTGAAGATATCAGGAGGAAGCGATGAGGAACAGTTCTCTCTAATCAAGCTTTCTCATGTTCTTTCCAAAGAGAATCATCAGGGGACCTTTCCTGCAGAAGGCGGTCACAACCTGCCAACGTATGATGATGAAARCCAGGCAATTCCTGTAGCAGGCATGCCAGGTACTTGTTGTCTATTATCATCTGGTGTAGGAAATCAAAACCCAATGTACCTGCAGGTTTTTCCCTTGGAGTCCAATACTGCACAGCATGTCAATGGCCAAATGTTAAGGCACTACAGCATTGGAATTTTTCTAAAAAAAAAAAAAAAAAAAAGCTGGGAGCAGCTTTCTAAAGATGACTTTTGGGTCTGACATGTCCATCATCATGTAGAAATGATTACATTTAATGTTCCAGAGAGGTGGATCTAAATCTTTGTGGGTCCTGTTACACAACCTCACTTCCCATACCATGCAGCTCCCAGGAACTTTTGTTTTTTCTGAGCTTTTCCACTTGGGGAAGGAAGCATTTTTAAGCATCCTCYTGCTGTACCTGCATCTCAGAACTTGCAGGGAGTGTCTAGAGGTCATAGGCACAGAGGAACACAGAGTGGGATTCCAGCTGTGAAAGGAGGCCCCAAGTGATCCCTCCCCCCAAGTTGGAGGGAACCTCATTCATCCTTCTGCATGCTGTGTTCCTGAGCAGTGCTGAGGCTTCACCTTTGATTCTTGACAGTCCYTCCAAGTGTGTCAGAGCCCGGGGAAGCTCCCCAGGACAGGAAATACGCCTTTTTTCCGAAGCACCGAGGTATGAACAGTCTTACAGCGATGCCTAAGTGAGAGATGAGTCTTGATGACTTGGAGCATGAGTGGTGTTTGGAACACCAGAGGGTGGAGGAAGGGGAAATGGTGCCTGTGTTGGAGAAAAGGCAAAGAGAGGGACCCAAGTTCAGATGCTCCTTTGCTGCAGGCTGCTCCAAGGAGCTAACGTGGGAGGGAAGAGTCAGGGTGGCACTTCGTGGACCAGGCATGGCTTTTGTGTGCATCACTCAGAGGAGTTATTGATAAACCAGATGAGCACCACTGTGTGTTCTCCTGCTGGCCTAGTAAGTCTTCTTCAGCAGGACAGCTTGTCCCAAGGGTCAAAGCATGGCTCCATGCAGCAGCACTTTTGAGCCCTAGCAAGGTGAGACAGCACCGTATCAATCATAGAATATAAAGGATTTCCAGAAAGGGGAACAAACCCATCCAATTGGGAAAACTAGATTATGGCCATCCCAGAACATAAACAATGCTGAGAGACTCCAAAATGTGCTGATTTGCAAAGGCTTGCAGACTTGCTGCTGMTGAAGCTAAGAAAACACTGTGGTCTCTGAAATTTCCCTCCTTCAGAGATGCTAAGAAAGAGAAAAAGACATTTTCCTGGCAATTTCAAACACATGTTGAGATTATCAGTAGTGCAGAACAAAGTAACATGACTTTGTGTAATTTCCTCCAGGTTTGGCTACAGAGAGAATTATAAGCCCACAAGAAATACATAGGTATGGCATGATACACACTGCAACAGTCTTAGGTAGCCTCGTGACTGGAGCAGTGTTGTGTTGCATAGTTATTTGCCTACTGAGGAGGAGGAAAAGGTGAGTTTCTTTTTTCCCTAAAATTCTGTAATTCTGTATTAAGACAGCTGCTATTAGTAAGGAATATATAGTCTGCTGGAGAGCAAAATTGGTTATTGATGATACTCTATTGACAGTTCTGGTGTAAGATTTCTATTTGAACCCTTAGTTCATAGCAGTGAGTGTTTTGAAACCCATTCTTACTGTTGCCTGTATTACCTAATACTGACAGTCACTAAAAGAGAAGACTCAACTACTGAAGAAAGCTAAGCCAAATCAGAAAGAGAAACCAAGGGTGAGATTGCCACAGAAAGTAAGAACTGTAATAGCTACAGTCCACTCTGAGGGCATTGGGTGATGTTAAAACACCTTATTATCTAAAGATATTAATTCCAAATGTACTCATCAACCCAGATATCAGAGCAACTTGGATCATGGCTCCATCCTGGCTCTACACATGGCTTTGGAAAAGGACATAGTACCATCTGAACCTGGACACTCGCAATGAGTTTGTTTTCAGTACAGACTTAATTTTGTATATATTCCAAAGAGAATCATTTTGTATATATACCAAAGAGAGCATTCACTGCAGTGGAAGTTGTGATCTTGTTTCCTTGGAGATACCTTGAGTATTCCCTACCAGTCAAGTGATAAAATGAGGGTTAGTCTTTGTCAGATGCTGAGAAGTAAGACTTCTCAATCTTGAAGCTCTCCTAGATTCTGGAATACTTCAGTCTCTGTTGTTTCTCTAAGTTAGATCCCACTCCCAGCAGGTGCAGAGAAGGCAAGTCAATGTCGTATGGGTCAAGAAATRCTTGAGAAGCCACTAGAATTGAGTGCAGGGGAGCATAAACAAAGCCTTGTGGGTACAAGTTTGTCCTGTTTGCTACCTGTAGCTTTTGGTACCTTACAGCTCCTACTTGGAGATAAGGTGCCAGGCACCACAGGGGGCTGCAGGCTGCTCTCCTGGGACCCTCACATCAGTTGTGGCCTGATTTAGCCAAGCAGCCAGTGGGGCTCGGAGCCTGCCCACGCTGTGGGACTGCTGCAGATCTGGCAGGCTCTTCTCCAGCCTGGGACCTGTAGCCTGCATGTCCTGAGCAGCTGCATCTCTCTGCAGGAAACTCCGTGCAGCCCAGAGATCGAATCCAGATGCCAGCAACTTCTCACGCCTGGACAACTGGCCCAATAACCCTGGCACCCCGGAGAACTGGAACCAACCCCAGCGGTCGCTCCTCACACTTGGAAAATCATCTCGCCATTCCCGCCGCCCCAGAGAAGTGGACTCATCGCGCACGGGCCTCCCTCCACCTCGTCCCCCCCCACCACGGCCCCAGTGGCCCCCCAACACCTCCCCAGCAGATGGGCAACAGCAGCCAATGGCTGAAGACCAGACGCAGTCGTGGGCAAAAGAGGAGTTACCCTCTGGGCCTGCCGCTTTCCAGCACCATCCAAAACCACCTCCACGGCCTCCTGGGCCCCCACCCCCCCAACTGCTAGCCCACTGAAATGAATTAGATGTAGTCAAGACCTGGGTAAGCCTTCAGGTCCAGTTGTTGAAGCAGGCAGAGCTTATATAATAATAAATAAACAGCTATAAACTTCACAGCTGTGGCAGAAGAGAGACAAATTGTTTCCCCCCGCCCCTCACTTTATTTTGGCAAAGTTAAATTCAAAGACAAATATTGCTACCTGTTTATACTTGCTTGCTTTTAGCCTTTGGTGCCATCCTCAAGCTGTAATAGGGAGAGCTGTGCAGACCTGTTTTAAAGAACAATGTGACTGCCCAAGCTACTGAAGAAGCAGGGAAGTTTCCATGGACAAGGCTTTCCTTCCTCTGAGGACTAAGGGGAGCTGGCTGAGATTTGAGAAGGAGCAAAGCAGGGAGTTAGCAGTAAAGAAAATCTGGGGGGAGAAAATCTAGCATGAGGCAAGCGATTGCAAGAGCGGAGGGAAGTCAAGAGCAGAGGGAAGTACTAAATCATTTTCAGCCCTCTGGCAAAGAGCTCCACAGCAGAAAAGGCTGCTGGGGAAACCAATTGCTTACACACTACGGTATCTCCAACGTGTCCGGATCATCTTTTGAAGCAGAGTGGACTACTTGCCCTGCTGGTGCTCTCCATCTTGTCCTAGTGCTCCCAGCGTGGGGCTGTAGGGCAACTGTTCCAAACCCACTGCCCGGCTCTCCCACAGCATCCCCACAAGACTTTCTCAGGATGCAGGAACAAGGCAGACCAAAACAGCTTGTAACCACTGCTTGTTTCCAAATACCTAGTTCTGGTAGAATCATAGAATCATAGAATTCTTAAGCTTGGAAAGGACCTCCAGAGGTCATCTAGTCCAAACCCCCTGCACACGCAGGGTCACCTAGAGCACGCGGTAAAGGGCTGCCTCCAAGCAGGTTTAAAAGATATCCAAAGAAGGAGACTCCAAAGCCTCTCTGGGCAGCCTGTTCCAGTGCTCTGTCACCCTCAGCGTTAAGAATTTTTTCTTAAGTTCCKGTGGAATTTCGGATGCTTCAGTTTGTAGCCATTTCCTCTAGTCCTATTGCTGTCCACCACTGAAAAGAGGCCGGTCCCTCCTCCTCACTGCCTCCCTTGAGGTATTTATAGACACTGATCAGGTCCCCCCTCAGCCTTCTCTTCTCCAGGCTGAACAGACCCAGCTCTCTGAGCCTTTGCTCATAGGGCAGATGTTCCAGGCCCCTGATCATCCTCGTAGCCCTGCGCTGGACTGTCTCCAGCAGCTCCACATCTCTCTTGTACTGGGGAGCCCAGAACTGGACACAATCTTCAGATGTGGCCTTACCAGGGCTGCGTACGATCACCTCCCTCGACCTGCTGGAGACGCTCCTCTCCAGGTAGCCCGGGCCGGACCAGGGTGCAGTGGGGCGGGAGGTCGTGTGGGGCCATACGGAGCGAGCGACGACATGAGCGGGGCCAGGGCTGCAAGGGCAGCACCGGGAGGGGAGCGATGGCGGGATGGGCTCCAGGGCGGGGCGGGAGCGGGGCCGGGAGCAGCGTGTGGCACCGCGTGACGGGAGCTCTTGTCCCCGTGTGGGCACAGCGGGGCCTGGCGGGGAGGCCATTTCTTGGCCGGAGGCCGGTGGGGACCCTCCTGGACGGCCTGGAGGTGAGTGCTCTAGGACCTGACCTGCAAAGCCTGGGAGCCRWGCTCTGCTCCAGTCGCTCTTAGTCTTAGCTGGATATGGGACTGTCTTCTCACTGTGGCTTCATTACAGATGTGGTCACCCTGGATTATCCAGTTGTTCAGCTGGATCATGAAGGGGCACCTCCAGATCTTCCCAGGGGTACATAGTCGAATTTTGCTTCTCTGAAATAATGAGAACTTTGTACTAGTTTGTTCGCCTGAAAATGTACTTGATCTTTCCCCTTCAGGTCATCCAGGTAATTGGCAGCCCCAGAGGAAGCCCAGGGGTAAGGTGTGGAGCATTTTCTGCCTTTGAGAGCTGCCAGGTTTCAGGGAAAAGGTCCTCCCTGTCTTTCCACACTTTTGATACTACTCACCTATGTATTTGTGCCATGTCATGATGGTACTCCTCCCGGCCCACACACACTTACATTCCCAACAACTGCCTTGTAAGGAACTTCTTATSAGCTTGTGAGGAAAACCTGCCATCTATGATGTGCTGAGTTTCTGCTTCCCTTGTAGGCAATGTCCTTTGCTGAGGACAAAGATATCAAGGTTGCAGCTCTGAAATCCCTAAAGCCACCCTGTTCGGCCTTGCTTGCCACAGTCTCGGGCTTCATATTGGCTGGRCTCGTGACCGTTTGTATAGCTGCTTCCCTCATCATCGAGAGAATACCGTGAGTTGTCCTTTTTGACATTCCTTATATTTTTTTCTCTTGTAGAAACCACACCTGTGTAGTGATAGTACCGTGGACTGCCTGGTCCTCAGTACTCTGCTGAGAAGTTCTGTGCTGAAAGCTTTCCTAAGTGGACTCTCCCTTCCTAGCAGTGAGGACTCCTTCCTGAAAGCCCTTCTTATTGTTGCAGAAAAGCAATGACAGCTGGTCCTGATGCTGACTCCAACAGGGAAGAATCAAGAGTAGACAGCGACAGTGGAAAACCGGGAAATGAAACAAAAAAGGATGAGGTTTTCATGGAAACGCAGGAGGATATCTGCATTTCCATGCATTTCTCCCAACCTCATCATTCTAACTACCTATGTCTCAAGTGTCAGCAGGGACAATGGATTTCAGGTGAATATTCTGAATAAAGTTATAGAACTGTTGAGGATTGTGATCAGTGGCACAGACTCTAGTTGGAGGCCTGTAGTTACCAGTGTCCCCCAGGGGTCAAAAAGGTGCTCAGGAGCAGTCAACATGAATTCACCAAGGGGAAATCATGCTTAACTAACCTGAGAGCCTTCTACGATGGAATGACTGGCTAGGTAGATGAGGGGAAAGCATCTATATTGACTTCAGCAAGGCTTTTGACATCATCCCTCACCAAATCCTCTTCAACAAGCTCTGGAAGTGTGACTTAGATGAGTAGATGGTGAGATGTATTGAGAACTGGCTTCATGGCAGACCTCAGAAGGTTGTGATCAGTTGCCAGGGTCTAGTTGGAGGCCTGTAGCCACCAGTGTCCCCCWGGAGTCAGTCCTCGGTCTAGTCWTGTTCTATTTATTCATCAGTGACCTGGATGAAGGATGGAGTGTCCCCTCAGCAAGTTTGCTGATAAAACCAAACTGGGAAGAGTAGCTGATACCCCAGAGGGCTGTGCTGCCATCCGGAGAGACCTGGACATACTGGACAACTGAGCAGTGAGAAACCTCATGAAGTTCAACAAGGGCCAAGTGCAGGGTCCTGCACTTGAGGAAGAATAACCCCGGACACCAATACAGGCTGGGGACTGACCTTCTGGAGAGCAGCCCCACCATGATGCCCAGGTCATGGGACTCTGCATGACCATGAAGTAGCAGTGTGCYCTTGTGGCCAAGAAGGGATCCTGGGATCCTGAGATGCACTAAGATGCACTAAGAGCTGTACTCAGCCTGGATGAGACCACACCTGGAGTAGTGTGCCCAGTTCTGGGCTCCGCAGTACAAGAAGGATGTGGAGCTGCTGGAGAGAGTSCAGTGCAGGCCTACAAGGATGAGTGGGGGCCTAGAACATCTGCCCTATGAGGAAAGGCTCAGAGAGCTCTGTGTGTGTTCAGCCTGAAGAGGAGAAGGCTGAGGGTGGACTTGATCAGTGCATATAGATATCTGGGGTATGAGGCCAGCCCCTTTTCAGTGGTGGCTAGCGTCAGGACAAGAACTGGCTACAAACTGAAGCACTGAAAGTCCCACAGGAAATAAAGGTGACTGTGAGGGTGACAGAGCACTGGAACACGTTGCCCAGAGAGGTGGTGGAATCTCCTTCTCTGGAGATCTTCAAACCTCGCTGGGATGCTGCCCTGTGCCACATGCTCTAGGTGACCCTGCGTGTGCAGAGGGGCTGGACTAGAGATCTCTAAAGGTGCCTCCCRATCTTAACRTATCTATGATTCCATGATCTGCACAGCCATCCTTTGCAGTATCTCCTTCCCTTCTCAGACCCCAAATGTGACAGGATTCAGCAGAACTGTTCCAGGGAGCTGCTCCTGGGTTCATCTGCATTCACCATTGGGATGAATGACAGCCCAAATGACAGTCCAAGCTGAGACACTGCAGTGATGGGACTAAAGGCATCCCTCACTGRAATGCATCACACTTACAGCTCCTCTAACACACTCAACCCTGCCACAAGTGCTGTGCATTACACCCAGACGCAATGGACCAAGACAGCCAAAGACTCTACAAACAGTTTAGCCCAACAGCTTT